GCATTTACCTACCTGGTCAATCAGCCCCTGCTAGATTTTACCAGCCAAGAAGAGGAAGGGCCATGCTTACTTGTAGTAGGTCAAACAGCCTCAAACTATCTTATCTACATCACCAGGCCTCAATATTGAAACCAATCTGATAAAATTGATCAACTCCTTGGACAACTCCTTGTATTAAGTGTGGTGGCAAGTTCTGAATTGTAGCCAAGTCAGTACTCAAACAGTAGCAATTAATAAAAGTAAAGTCGAGGTGAAGAATGGATGCGAGAGCTATTTATGACTATAGACACCCTAGCCTACAAAATAAATAATAGTACTCCATTTGTGATTCTAAACATACATGTATCAATGTATTAAGTATGTTAACTATATTTGTAAAAACACACATTTGGGAAAATGGGGACTATGCCAAAATGGCTTAATTTTCTTCGTTTCTGATTAAGCTTTAACTGATTCAGCTTAATCTCCATGGCTGCCCTATGGCTACCCAGGCATCTGGAGCTTCCTTCATCCATGCAATTAGACTTACATAGTCATCAACAGAGATGCTTCTTTGTTTGGGGAGCAGGAGATGAAGGACTGAAGTCCTTTCTAACTCCACTCTTCTCTTGATCAACAGCCATCTGTATGAGGCAACTAGCACACAACCCAGCTAATAGCAATGATATACCCAGAAACAATCTGTGTTTCTGTGTGTAGAGAAGCTGGATGTATAGCTCACATTCTTCACTGAACAAGGGATGAACTGACAAAGAAGACTACTTACACGTGTGCATCATCTTTATTTAAATCAAATTACAGAAATTTAATTGGTACAATTTATGAATACTACATACCTCTCTGTGTTTTCAATATCTGTGGAAACCTGCCATAAATGTTGCTGGATGTCTATTGGTGAAGATGACGTGTCTTCTAAAATAGGAGCCTCTGAACTCTCCTCTTGTTTACTGTCTATGACCTTGGGTGCTGAACAAGACTCCAATCCTTTGAAACGTGCAAGTACAAAACAAAAGAAATCTAATTAAAAACAAACAATTTATACTTGCATCTCCCATCAGCTGCAACGTTAGAAATGATTTTAATTATATTCCACCTTCCCCTCAATATGGCATCCAAATTGGCTCAAAGCAGGGAATAAAACAAATGACGCTTACAAATTTTCGATGGCATGCTGTTCAGCATTTATGATGCCTTAAGATAGGCTTATGCCCTCATAAATTTTGCTGGTCACATTTCAACTATGGCACCGTTGCAAAGATTTCAAATAAATCCTAAAACTCATGTTCAAAGCCAGGTAGCTGCACCATCCAAAAAAGGCATGTTGGGACACTGATAAGCAATTTGCTGAAGGATGACCAATCCAGCCCTCTCCTGCTAGTGATCTCGCATGTGACAAGATGGGAGTCTGCAGAGGGGCCTATTGCTGCTCTTCTAACTGTGGAATGGAGCTGAACGCATCATCTTTCAATAACCTGCTTGCCAGGACCTCAGAACGGCTACAGTTTGTAGGGTTGCCCTTTTAAGGTGGGTTTTAGGGGCCAGATGGGAAGGTGGGTCACAGCTAAGTCTCCTGTACAGAAACTCAGCCAATTATGATAATTAAAATGTAGAAAAAACAGACAAATACAACAGCACAGAGTTTAAAAAGTTGAAAAATGTTTTATAAAATCTGTTAACCTTAGCTGGCTTCACATGCCATCAATGAATAATCCCAGAATGAAGCTGATATCCATTTATAAAATAGCATAGTCCATATTTTGACTCACTGTGTTTCTGAAACAGTGAGTCAAAATATGGTCCACATTGTTTTTCATATGCCTTGAGTCGCCTTCAGGCTGAGAAAGGCGGTAAACAAATGCGGCAAATTAATTAATTAATTAATTAATTAATATTTTAATCAAAATTTTGGATACCAGCCCATTCGTTCTTGAAGAGGAGGATATGCGTGAACATGCATACGTAACCTCTTGGTACCCTTAAGGACCTGTGTGTTAACGCGTATGTGTGTGTGCAATTAACAAAATGGTAAATGGGTGCTTTTTGAAACCACTCACTTTAATAACCTATAGCTGTGTCAGAATCTGCACCAATGATGATGATTTACCCATTAAAATAAATAATTAATCCTATACAGTCTTCTCTCTTAGCTTTCCTATTGTTTATATTTATCTCCACAATTACAACTAAGATGTGTTATGAAAAAGGACAAAGAAGTGACATCACAAAAGATAAAAACTTGAGAGTTAATCTTCCATACATTCATCGTTGCTAAAAACAGTGCAGTTCATAATATATGTTGCTTACTTTTAGAGAAAGGAAGAAATATAATAAATCCCTATATCTAAATATAAAACCTCCATTCTCCATTTGAATCAGGCTATATCTTTATCTTCCTGATAAATTTGCAAATGTGTTTTAACTGGAATACCATACAACACACAATCAAATTAAGAATATGATATAATAAATAATAACATGTCATGGTATAGTTGGTAGCACTGTTTCGCAAATAATGTGATAGATCATGAGGCAGCATTGCTGGAAAATGGAATAGGGTAATTGATTTTTAAAGAAAATAATTAATCAAGAGTTACATCAGAGAAACTGTATTATTATTAATCATTTCTGAAAGGTGAAATACAAATGTTTTGCATAAAGAGTATATTGCTAGGATCTGCAAAAACTTGAAAAATACTGGAAGATTTTTTTTTATTTCAATGTTGGTTGGATAGTGGGAAGCTGTTGCAGAAAAACTGAACCACTAAAGGAGAACTGAAAACAACTGCATGTTTGCTACAGGTTGTCTCCTTTTATTTCATCAATAACTAAGCTAAACTCATCTATGGTCCCATCATCTCATCAATGAACATGTTGGGTCTCATCTCTTCAAGGTGATTACATTAATATCATATCATGTAATAATTTTTGGAGAGAACGAAGTTGAAAATCTATGTCTCCAGCTTTCTTATTCCTAATGTAAATAAGAGAAAATCTGGATCAGAATGCTATTAGGACCATTAGTCTTTATAAGTGGACTTACGTTTGCAGGAATAACAATTGCATAGTAGCATTATCATCCATATGTAGAATTGGACTAATGTTACAGTACTATGTAGCGGAACCAGCAAAGCAATTCACATCAGTGTGTGATGCACTGTGGTGTGCATTGCACACTAATGTGCATTGCATATACACACATACTGGACACACTTGTAGGTGTCCCATCTTCACAATTTAATAAAGGGAGTTCCTAGCATCTCTGCTCTGCAGCCAGGTATACATAGAGTGACAAGACATAGCAAGTAATGCAGAATTCTCGTGATTTATTTTAACAGATTGCTTTGCTTGCCTAAAATACAAGAGTGATGCTAGTAAAGGACTTATTCTTTATGCAACACAGAGAATATAAAATGTGTGGTGAATTTCCATTTCTGAGGGTACAGTAGTGTGCCTGGCCCATCGTTATGTGCAGCACCGCATTTACTTTGGAGTGTCCTCGGTGTACCGCATCTAGGTCATTTTGAATTTCCATCAGGAAAGCACTGTAGCAGAGCCTCTTCTCCTTGATGCACGCACACAGTTTCTCCCGATGGGCACATTTCTTTCTTTGCTTCTTGAAAGTACCTGTTTGGTTACATTTCTTCAAGCCACACATCACATTGATTTTTGTGGCTTCTTTTCAGCAAAATGTTCTGCTTTCAGAAGAATTTGCCTAATTGGTGAGGGAACACGCTCATATTAGCACTAACAACCTAAGTCAAGAGGAGTAAAATGGAAAAGTGATGGGCTAATTCCTTCGGATTCACAAAGAAAAAAAAGGAGTAACAAGCAGTGAAGGAAGGAACTTCAATGGGTAATTTAAAAGCCCCCCTTGCTCAGCGACTCCTAATTGAATTAATATCGCAAATTCAAGCCTAACAGACAGCTGAGCATACAGTTGTCAAACAATGAATCCTTTCAGATATCTTCAGTGCCAGTTGCACACCCACAAAGAGCACAAAGCAATAAATTCTGGCGCTCAGCTGTCTGTCAGCAATTTCCACTTGAGAAGCACTTGGTTGCCTCCAGGCGGTTGTTCCACATTTTCCAGTGCAGCAGCCCAGCCCTAGACAAACGGGTATGAAGTAACTCTGCAGTGGCATCTGTGTACAAAGAACTAAATGCCTTGCAAATACTCTGCCTCCAGAACAGGGCACACCTAATGGCAAACTATCGAAAAGAAGATATCCAAGGTTTTCTTGGCAGTTCCTTTCTTTTTTGATTGTTAGTATGGATCAATAGGTGACTTTCCCTTCTGTTTTTGCTTTTAACACACATTTAGGAAACTGTCTTTAGGATACAGGAAGAGTCATAGATGTTTGTCTCAATTATGTAACCAAGCAGGTTTTTAAAAGATTACTGAATAATCAACTCCCATCAATCCCACTCAGAACAGTTTGGTGCAGTGTTCTGGCACCCCTGGTGGGGTGTGTCATGAGGGGTGTGTCAGAGGGGTCGCCAAAGACCATCAGAAAACACAGTATTTTCCATTGGTCATGGGGGTTCTGTGTGGGAAGTCTAGCCCAATTCTATCGTTGGTGGGGTTCAGAATGCTTTTTGATTGTAGGTGAACTCTAAATCCCAGCAACTCTAACTCCCAAATGTCAACGTCTATTTTCCCCAAACTCCACCAGTGTTCACATTTGTGCATATTGAGTGTTCGTGTCAAGTTTGGTCCAGATCCATCATTGTTTGAGTCCACAACTCCAAAACTCAAGGTCAATGCCCACCAAACTCTTCCAGTATTTTCTGTTGGTCATGGGAGTTCTATGTGCCAAGATTGGTTCAAATCCATTGTTGGTGGAAGTTCAGAATGCTCTTTGATTATAGGTGAACTATAAATCCCAGCAACTACAACTCCCAAATGACAAAATTAATTTTCCCCCAACCCCACCAGTATTCAAATTTGGGAGTATTGGGCATTTGTGCCAAATTTGATCCAGTGAATAAAAATACATCCTGCATATCAGATATTTACATGATGATTCATAACTGTAGCACAATTACAGTTGTGAAGTAGGAACAAAAATAATGCTATGGATGGGGGTCACAACATGAGGAACTGTACTGAGGGGTCACAGCATTAGGAAGGTTGAGAAACACTGGTTTAGGGCTGTTCCTCAGAGGAGCTTTTTTCATTTGGAGATGTTTACTGCCTTGTACAAAAATCACCCTAACTTTCCTCCTGTAGGGCAGCTCCCTGCAGGAAGAGTTTGAACTTGGAGAGCTCTCTGAACTTTACCAGAGATATAAAAAGCAGTAAAGGTCCCCGTAGGCTTTGATTCTGCAAGGTTGTTCTATACCCATGAAGCAGGTAAAGTTAATAAAGCACTGAACTGTTGTCTCCTTCTACTAAGCACCTGTCCGCACGCACTTCTTTGCCAGCATAGGTCTGGCTGTTCTGTATGCATCCATGAGTGCAAACATTTGCTTGGCCCTTTTTTGCCCTCAGGAACACATCCCTGAATGAGCAAGTTGTGCACTGAAGTGTGAGGCTAGCTTGGTGGAGCTCTCCATGGAAAACTGCACAGAAGGCTCAGCCAGATGGCACGCATCCAGCGCTCCACCAAAATTAGAAAAAATACTGTGAAATATAGTCATGAACTTGCTAGGTGCCAGTCTGTGTTGCCTCGCGAACTAGCCACTATTCCAAAGGACTATGCAAAAAAGCCATAATGTCTATGTCTTGCTGACATATGCAAATAAAAGTCCAACGTATGTCTTGGCTTGGTCATTGTGGAAGTTCATTATTCTGAATTCTGAAAAACTTCCAAGTCAAAATCATCAAAACCCCACCAGGACGCATTGTTTTACTATGATAGCTATGCTGGATGGCCAATCTTTGTCTGGTGGAAAATAGGGGAATTGGAAAAATGTACCCACAGCCAGATGCAGAATGATAATGTCATACATTGAGGCCCCTTCCAAACAGCTGTATAAAATCTACACTGAACTGAATTATATGGCAGTGTAGACTCAGATAACCCACTTCAAAGCAGATATTGTGGATGATGGATGATGTAGGATTTTGGCCAGCGAGACATTTAGGGCCTCATTGGTTTTTGCAAATGAGGACATCAGCAGCTGTTCTCTGCCGACTGGACTTCAATGGTCAGAACATAACAAAACACCACAGAATGCTGTTTCATACCAGGGGCCTTTCTATATAGGTGGCTATCCCAGGAGCATCCACGTTTAAAAAATACAGATGCTCCTGGCGGTCTGTCCACACCCACCCCAGAAAGTGCATGCTTTCTGAGTTGAGTCTCTAGATGCTTTTCCTGGACTGGCCCGGCAGAACATCTGGAGACCCTACCCCCCTTCCTCAAAGCCCCAAGCCCCTTTTAAGAATAAGGAACACTTACCCGGCCTCCATTACAGTGTTGCCAGAGCTCTCCCGGAGTGTAGAAATGACATGCCGGGAGACCTCTGACAACACTGTAATGGAGGCCAGGTAAGTTTTCCTTACTTTTAAAAGGTGTTTGGGGGCTTTGGGAGAGGGGGTGGGATTCCCAGAGTTTTCCAGACTAATTTAGTCTAGAAAACTGGGAATGGTGTCTGGACTGCAGTCTAGACACTGGAAGTATTGGGTTTATCCTGCACCTTCCAAGAAGGTGCAGAATAAATCCACTATCTAATTAATTCACCACAAGCCAGGGTTTTCCTAGTTTGTGGCAAATTCATTGCGGGCTGGCCAGAACGTCATCTGGAAAGCCCTCCTTTTATTGCAGAAATTTTTGCTATAAAGAGGCTGTCTGGATGGGCTCCGGGTAAGGCAATTTTACAGTGCGAAGACTTTTGTATCACCGTGTTGTTTTTCATCTCAGCTGGCTGTCACACTATGGGCCCTCCCACACAGCCCTATATCCCAGAATATCAAGGCAGAAATTCCCACAATATCTGCTTTGTGCTGGGTTATCTGAGTCCACACTCAGAAAATGTGGGATTTTCTGCCTTGATTTTCTGGGATATAGGGCTGTGTGGAAGGGCCCTATGACTAGCATATTGGATTGTTTTTTTCCTCTCCTCCCTCTGCACGCCCTTTCCTTTCATGCTGTGCCTGCAAGCCTGAAAGTGGGGTCTGTTTTGTTTTATACTGCTTTGTAAGCTACTCTGGGAGCCTCTGGGACTTAAGGGTGAGTAAAAAAAAGCTCTAGCATTATAAATAAACACATGGCTCATTTAGAAGGAGCCTTGAATACCTCTCTTTATTTTACTGCACCGTTACTTATTGCAGTAAGTGGTGAGGACACATGTCTCTCCATGTGTTCTGGCACAAAGCTAAAACGAAGTATGCTTGATGTTAGCCCTACCTTACCCCAAGTTAACTCCGAGGGCCCTTCCACATAGCCATAAAACCCAGAATATCAAGGCAGAAAATCGCACAATATCTACTTTGAACTGGGTTATCTGAGTCCACACTGCTATATATTCCAGTTCAGAGCAGATCATGTGGGATTTTATTCAACTCTGTGGAAGGGGCCTGACTTGTGAGAAAGCAGAGAGAGCCAATGCTTAAATGAGATAAACCCTCAAAGTCTTTGGCTTTCGCATCTTCTTCATCAGTTATTTTTTAATGAGGCCACCAAAATTGGCAGTAAAATGTTTACAATCTTGGAAAAAGCTAAAGGGTTGCAAGTTAGATTAGAATATCCCTTTGTAGTTAGTAAATATTTCATTATATGTTGGTGTTTCACTGGGGAAAAATACTTTTAAGGCAGATGCATTATTTGAATACATAGTTACTGTTGACATTATTAGTTGGATTTATGATACAACCTTTAGGTTTAAAAGATCTTAGCAACAGTTGTAGCAGATAAAAATAAAAAAGGACAATGAAGACAATATAATAATAAATGTGCTTCAAAAAACCATATGGATAAGCAATTGCATAAGGCCAATATGATACCAGACATCCAGGAACAAGATGGGCCTTGCTGGTGAGAACAAAGGTCCAAAATTTAAAAGTCAATTCATATGAAAGTAAACCATAACAATTCAGTTCTTTGCTTTTTCCACAGTTACAGAACATACCTTACTCCTTAATCATAGCAAAAACGTATTTTTTGGATTACATCTCTCAGAATCCCATAGGCATTCCAAAAAACAAAGCTCAAAATATAACGTTAGCTCTGGATTGCAGCAATTTGTACAGTGAACTGGAATATGAATAGAAGAGCCATTGAAAGTGGAGATAAACCATGATGTACTCAAAGATTTATGACCATGATTGGCCGATCCCATACAAGCTTTGCCATCTGATTTTCTTTTTTCAGTGTTGATGTGGGAGCCAAACTGATGTGGGCTTTAGCACAGCTGGTTAATCAGCAGCAATACATCTTACCAATTGAAAGGCTGGCAATTTGAAGCCCGGGTTGGAGTGAGAACCTCACCTTCAGCCCAGAGTACTGTCTACCTATGCAGTTTGAAAACTGCTGTGAGCTGTGAAGAGAGAAATTAGGCATCGCTTAAGCAGGGGGGGATTTTATGGCCCCACAAAAGAAATATCAGAAAATGCCAGAGATCAAAGGAAGGAGGAAGTCTGTGATCAAGGCTCTTTGTCATAGAGGATGGAGCAACAGCACCCTCCTGTAGCTGGAATCGAGCACGACCTCCAGGATGCTGAAGTTGGGGAAAAATGCCAACATAATACTTCTATCTGTTGTCTGTCCTGTCTGTTTAATGGCATTGAATGTTGGCCGTGTATGTGTTCTATAATCTGCCCTGTGTCACCTTTGGGGTGAGCAGGGCAGAATATAAATGCTGTAATTAATTAATTAATTAACTAATCAGCTCTTAGAAATGGAAGGTAATAGTTGTGGCTCTCACAGCTACTTCTAGTTTTGTATGAAATTATTTGATCTCCAGAAGCATATTTAGATAGCAGAACTAAAGAAGAACTCAAGTATGAAATGAAGTTGGTGTAGCCGATAATGGGGGCAATGGATAAAGAACTATTTTTGCAAGTGAAAAGTACAACGATGAGACGCGGGAAAGAAAAGCATTATGATTATGTTTATGATTATTACTTGATACACAACAAGATTAGTACACAACAAACAAGATCACTATGCTGGCTTTTGTATTGGATCACACATTGGACACTTCCCAAGCGTCTAGGACTGTGTGATTTATCAGTGAATAATGCATGTAGATCCAAGTAGGATGACCTTTTGCAGCTGACAGATGGTAATTTTGTCATCGCCAATTGTTTTAAGTGCAGGCCAAAGTCTTCAGCCACTGTACCCAGTGTGCCGATCACCACTGGGACCACCCTTACTGTTGTTGCTGTTGTTGTTATGCTATTTATTTTATATGATTCTGGCTTTTATCATATAATGGTAGAAAAGAAGAGAAACAGTATAAATTGGGTGTAGGAAAAATTGGTCACTGTCTTTAGCTTCTTGGAGAAAATATATGATATCAATGTAATCATCAATCTGACAGACAGATGGCACATTTTAATGATTTTGAATTATTTACTTTTAAACTTATAACAGCCTGTGGCTATAATACCTTGCTTTTTCCTCATTTCAATAACAGACACATTCATATATAAATTCCAATCCACTAAAAGCAACAGAACAGCCTAAGTATGCAAGAATTTTCTCTTGATGTACACGGAATGGACAAAGAGATCTTGACTGTAAGAGTGAATAAGAGTGAATAAGGATGCACCTATACAATAAACTTAACCTAAACGAAGTAGAGGAGTCCCATTGTATCCTATGTTCAGACTGGCTGAAAAGTGACAGATGTCCTGTTTCACCAACAGCCAAAAGTGACTAAATGAAAAATAGATCAAGGTGATTTATAATGTAGATGAATACCTTTCCGATGAAGCTGAAGCGATCCTAGTAGGCATATGGATTTTAGCATCTCTGTTGTATACATTTCTAAGCAACACTGCAACTGGATAAACAGTCTACAGATTTCAGGATGAATTTCCCCATCTTCTGGGCTGCAACAATATAGAAATAAAAAGAAACAGACACAAAATGTTATTATTCTTGTTTTCCAAAGTTTTTGTAGATTCGATTTAGCTTTAGCTTTATTAACGTGTATATCTTGATGACATGTATCTATCATTTCGCTTATATTGTGCTGTTTTTGTATCCCACACAAATGTGTTAGTATTTTGTAGCCTGAAAGAATGTTGCATAACTTGAGGTACAGAAGTGTTCGTTTACAGAGTATTGTCACAGATCACAAGGGGAGAGATTGTAGTCACTTGGTAGAAAACAGCTGCTTTCCACATAAGAAAGTTGCAGGGTCAGTCCACTCAAAGGATCAGGTGATCAAAAGAAAACATCTGTCTGAGACCCTGGGAAAACACTATTGGACTGAATACAGCATTGTATGAAGCCTGGTCTGATGAAAAGACTGGGGTTAAAAATAACTTCCTGTGATTTAAATGCATTATCAGTCCTAATGAAGATTCCCTGAAATCAATGGGACTCAAATTAGTTGTTATTAAAACGTCAAATTAATTTTGGTAGATCTTATTTAGTTAGTTCTAAAGGCAGCAGACTTTGTCTTATGGTTCTTCCAAGTATCCCAGGATCTGATCCCATGTTTTCTGTTTATCCCAGATTATCTGGCAGTGGGGACTCATATAATCCAGATTAAAGCGGGAAACCTAGGATCAGATCCTGGTATATAGGGCTTGTCTGGAAGGGCCCAAAGAAACTAATTAGTTTTCTTTTCCTTTTTTTTTTTCATGTCAGGAACAACTTTAGAAACTGCAGGTCGCTTCTGGTGTGGGATAATTGGCTGTCTGCAAGGACGTTGCCCAGGGGATGCCCCTTTTTTGTTATGTTTTACCATCCTTGTGGGAGGCTTCTCTCATGTCCCTGCATGGGGAGCTGGAGCTGACAGAGGGAGCTCAACCCGCTCTTCCAGATTTGAACCACTGACCTATCGGTCAGCAGTCCTGCTAGCACAAGGGTTTACTCCACTGTGCCACCAGGTGCTCTGTATTAATCGGTATTAACTCTGATTAATATTTATTTATTTATTTGTTTATTTAGAACTTTTATATACCGGTCTTCTCACCTCTGTAGAGGGACTCAGGCCGGTTTCCAACAACAATATGACTCAGGCCGGTTTCCAACAACAATATCACAAACAATCGTTTAAAAACATCACATTCCGTAATACACTAAAACATTAAAATACCAAAAAATACAATCATATAATTACAATGGCCAAGTCGTCACAATAAAATCGTTGTTCATCACCATCCATCCATATAGCCACGAGGTATTGACTCACTCGTCAAATGCCAGTTTCCATAGCCAGGTTTTCACCTGTTTTCTAAAAGTCAGGAGAGAAGGGGCAGTTCTAATCTCTAATCTATAATACTCTGATAGTATCCTGGTAATAAACACCAGGTGTTGTAGGCTGTATTTCAGGGAAAGGAACTGGCAAAATCACATCCAAGGATCTTATCCCATGGGGGGAGAGGTCATGAAATCATGGCGTTTAGTCCATTATCATTAGAAATTGAAATGTTCCATTAGTTATTGCTTATCACATGTCTTCAGAATTAGCTAGTTTTTCTGTTGCCAACCAGTTTTAATCCTTATCCCATGAGTGAGTGGATGCCCCCCCCCCCCCCCCCCAATTGGTCTTACTTCAACATTGCGAGAGTTTGAACTCTCAGCCTGCTCTGGTGCTAGTTTTGCTCCCATCTTTTATTCTTTGGTATTTACTGTATTTTACACCCTTTACCATTCTGAGACTATCTGTATATCATTTGGTTTCAATTCTCATCACCCTTGACCAACACGTGAGCAGTAATACAACGTTCACTGTCCATGTTCTGGGAGGTCTTGTGACAGTTGGAACCAGTTCAGATTCATTTATTAAAAGTGAATAGTTTGTCTCATTTCACAGCCTCTGAATGTGTTGACAAATTGACTGGATCTGCTACTAGATTGCAGCTGTGTGTTTTTCTAGTCTGCCAAGGAGAAGACAGGAAGCCAGAAGGTAGAGAGGGAGTGTGAACTAATGTTATTTTTACCTGTTGGTGTAGGGTGTTTTTTTCTTTACCTGCCACTATGTGGTTTCTTTCTTTCCTTGGGAAAAATCCTATTGATCCCATTTGAATCAATGTTTGAATCAATGTGGACGACTGATGGCTCCCATCCCATGTGTTTTTGGCAATTAAGAAATGGAAATGAAATATAATACATCCTAGGCTCCTGAGATGATTTCTGATCATCTTCTCCCCACTCCCTTTTTTGATATTGTTTTCAATGATTATATAACAAATCGTGACAGGCACAGACAAGAAGTTCTCTTTTGTCATGGGATGGGATTTGTCGCTTTTCATTCAGAAAATGGATTTAAATGTTTCAAAACGGTGTGTGTGTGTGTCTCGTGGGATAAAGTTTCAAATGTTCCTTGCCTATGAAGTTGACAGGTGACTTGAAAGCACATACACATACAACATTGTATTTAATCCTACATTTCTGTTTGAATTGGCACTATAGCCACTGTTACTCTGCATTTCTGTTTATTTCCTTTGTGATGGCTTTTCCGTATTAATTTGCTTCCTTTTCACTATAATCTGCAGCCTTCTTTTCTTTCACTCCTCCATAAAACCATCCATTTTATTATAGACAAATGAAATAAGTAAAGTTACTATTGAAGTTTAAAGGGGTTTTGAGCTTGTTTCTTTTGTCTAATACACCATTAATATTGGTGGGTGTAGGGCTGGTTGTTCAGATTCTGCCTTGCTAATTTGTTTACTCTGCTTGAGAGATGTCACATTTCTCCCATTTCACTACATTTTCTATGTTTTTTTTTCTGTGAGCAAAGAAACACTTTCTGTTCATGGAACGAAATATTTGAATTTGAGTGAATGGAAGCCAAGAGATAACAATCCACAGGAACAGGCTACTTTTGATAACTGTTTAATTATCAGAGTTTGTCTTGAATTTGTTACACTGATTTTGGTGCTTTGGCTTAATTCTCATGTGTGTGTGCGTGCATGCATGTGTGTGCATAAGATAAAGGTAAAGGTTTTCCCTTGATATCAAATCTAATTGTGTCCTTCTCTGAGGGGTGGTGCTCATTTCCATTTCTAAGCCGAAGCTGTCCGTAGACACCTCCAAGGGCATGTGGAATGACTGCATGGAGCGCCATTACTTCCTGCAGGAGGGGTACCTATTGATCTACTCACATTTGCATGTTTTTAAACTTCTAGGTTGACAGAAGCTGGGGCTAACAGTGGGAGCTCACGCTGCTCCCCACATTCGAACCTGCAACCAGCTTAGCGCTTTAACCCACTGTGCCACCATAGAATCATAGAGTTGGAAGAGACCTCATGGGCCATCCAGTCCAACCCTCTGCCAAGAAGCAGGAATATTGTATTCAAAGCACCCCTGACAGATGGCCATCCAGCCTCTGTTTAAAAGCTTCCAAAGAAAGCCTCTACCACACTTCAGGGCAGAGAGTTCCACTGCTGAACAGCTCTCACAGTCAGGAAGTTCTTCCTAATGTTCAGATGGAATCTCCTTCCAGAGGCTCCTGGTGTGTGTGCATGTGGGCCTAAATAAAATAACCTAACTGAAGGTAGGGTCTGTTAGGGTCTGGTCTGAGGGCCCTCCAGAAAAGTTCTCCCCATATTTCTGGGGTGACTCATGAGGTGACACTGCTATTACCTGCAATCGGGTGAACTAAAAAAGTGTAGAGTATATTCATGTTAAAATTAATGAATGGAAACCTAGTCTTATACATGTCAGGAGAGAGCAATGGTGCTAATTCTTCAACACAGAAGAAGACCTTTTGAACAAGTACAAGCCCTCATAGGTTCAGGCGTTGGTGTTTTGTCCCCCAGCATTAAAATCCAATTGCTGCAGAGTGATCAACAGATTCTGGGGAACTCTAGAAACAATTTTGATATAATGGCACTTTCTTCCATACGGCCACATAAACTTTAAGAAAATCAACAGGTATAATGCAAATGCTACTGGACCAAAAAGAGAAATGATTACGCACTATAACATCTGCTTTATACCAAATGTCAATTCCACAATGGGTTAAACTCTGCTCATAGCAGCAAATGTCCCATAAATTTAGAGTAATTCCTAACTTTAACAATCACTTATACTCCTTTTTTCCCCTACTGCTTCAACCAGCAACCTCTGGAGATATGATCTAATGTGGATTTAGTGCCCTTACACTACAGCACCTCTGCTAACGTGCTATTTTTGTCGTGTTCTTCTTAGGTTGCCACTGACTACCATTCTCAAATGTATGGTCTTTATCTCCATTGATTTTTTTTGAAATCACCCTCATGAGAGGGAAATTTTCAAACCCTAACTTGTACCAAAAAATGTTATTAAGTTCTCCCTGGAGGTTATACAATTTAGATCTACTGCTTGAATGATGTTTTAGACTCCTTCTTTGAGTATCAGACATGTACAGGTTAGCTTCTGGTGGCATTTTAATGCCATGTTTGTAATTAGCTCATGGAATCAAGAAAAAGATATTTTGTTTTCTTTTTTTAAAAAAAATAGCAATATTTACAAACATATTTGCAAGGCTGGATTAAAATGTTTGAGGATCTGGAGCACGTCCAAGACATAATTGAGGAGGTTACAGTATTATTACTTGAGTTTTGACAGCTGGTTCATGACAATGCAAATGTCAATTCTTCTTACCGGTTTACCCCCTTCCAGCTTGTGAAAACAGAAACAGGTGGACTCTGGAGACAAAAGTGTTCCTGTGTCTACACAAGAAATTGGCGGCGGTGGCGGGGGACAGAAAGAGAACTGAAGTTCCATTTATTGGACATTCAAAAAGACCCTTTCTCAAATATCTCCCTTATGATGTGGTCATGTATATTTGTTAGACCTTTGAACATTAGGAAAGCAGTACTGGACCACACCAAAGGCAGCATTCTTTTCGTACAATGGTTAATCATAACTCTTTGGAAACTTGCAGCAGGTC